GTGTGTGTGTGTGTGTGTGTGTGTGTGTGTGTAGATAATTAGGTGAGCCAATTTCTTAAAATACATCTCTTGTTTTAAGGAATTGGTTCACGTGCTCATCAGTGCAGTTTAGGCCAGCGGACTGGAGAAGCAGGGAAGAACCACTGCTGCAGCTCAAGTCTGAAGACTGTCTGCTGGCAGAATTCCCTCTGTTCAGGGAGGTCACTCTTTGGCTTGAGGGAATGGATGAGACTCACCCACATTATAGAGGGCAATCTTGCTTTACTTGGAGTCTATTGATTTAAATGTTGCTCTCAGCCAAAAAATACCTTCACAGAAATATCTAGAATAATGTTTGACCAAATATCTGGGCACTGTGACGTAGGCAAGCTGATACATAGAGTTAACCATCACAGGCTCCTTTGTTGGTAATCATTGTTCCTAATGAACTTGTCTGGTTTAATATCTGCCTATCTTCTCCTTTAAAATCTCTCTTGGGACTAACCTCCCACTAACCATTATTTTGCTGCCCAAGTTCCTGCCCCACGGCAGGAATCAGGTTAAATTTTTCATTTACACTTGCTTCACATACCACTGCCTCTGTGACCACACACCACTGCCATTAAGGTCAATTCTAGGCAGAAAGACTGGGCACGCTTCTGCATGGCCCCCCTACAGTACCTCAGCACCCTGACCCTCCAGTGAGCTCAACATGGAGGCAAGATCTCTGTGGGCTGAGAGGCCCAACGAGTGTGGAATCGAATCCTTCTGGTCCTCACTACATTGATATTGGTGTTTCCCACATCAGCATTCCAAGTGAAGAAAGCAAAATTAGATTTTTTTTTTTTTTAATAAAAAAGAAGCTGACAGCAGTTAGAGGAAAAAGGCAGCTTAGGTTACAGGTAGGGAGATCTTTTAGGAGCTATTATAGTAGTTCACTCAAGGACTTCGGCAAAGGCAATTGAATCAACAATGGTTGTATAAGAAAGTGCTGAAAAGGTGGCAGGAAAGTGTGCAGAGAAGGAGATGTTTAGGCTACAGGATTTCGTGATCAGTTGAGTTGAGGGAAAAAAATAGTCAGGTATGAATATCTAGTTTCTGATTTGGGCAACTAGACGGATGGTATTGCCATTAAACAGTGACAGTTTTTAAAATGGAAAAGTGGGTTGGGGGAGTAAAATATAAGTATAGTTTTTGACAAGTTTAACTTGAGAAACATTTGGGACATCCAGGTGGTAAGGTCCTTACCCAGAACTCTAATTCTAGCTCCAGAACAAGAACTCCAGAGTTGAAAATCCTGGAGGGATTGGTAACATGGAATTTGTGGTAAGGAGGAAGTAGTCGACAGGGTCATATACAGCAAGGAGGAGAAAGACTAAAATCTGCCTTTTAGGGTTTGGCGATCAGGAGAGGGTTTATGGCACTGCTAAGTGGTGAAGATGTGCAGTCAGAGAGTGTAGATGACTCTTTGAGAAAGCTAACCTCTTAAAAAAGAAGAGAGATTGGAAGTTAGAGGAGCAATTTTAGCAGCTTTATTGGGGGTATAACATGCTATATACTGGACATATTTTAAGTGTACAGTGTAATAAGTTGTGACTTACCAAATGAATACATCTATATAACCATTACTGCAGTCAAGATAATGAACGTATCCATCACTCCCCAGTTTTCTCCTTCCTCTTTGTAATTCTTCTAGCCTCTCCCTGCCACCCCACACCATTAGATAATCATTGATGTTTTCAGTCACTACAGATTAGTTTGCATGTTTTAGAATTTTATATAAATGGAATCATAAGGTATGTACTCTCTTTTTCCTGACTTTGTTTCAGTATAATTGAGATTCATTGAAATTATTGCATATATGATTGTATTCCTTCTAGCCTCTCCCTGCCACCCCACACCATTAGACAATCATTGATGTTTTCAGTCACTATAGATTAGTTTGCATTTTTTAGAATTTTATATAAATGGAATCATACAGTATGTACTCTCTTTTTCCTGACTTTGTTTCAGTATAATTGAGATTCATTGAAATTATTGCATATATGATTGTATTCAATTGTGTGGGCATTCCACAACTTGTTTATTCATTTACCTAGAGATGAACATTGGGTTGTTTCCAGTTTGTTGCTATTACAAATAAAGCTGCTATCGACATTTATGTATAAGTCTTTGTAGAGACATACTATCATTTTTCTTGGGTAAATATCTAGCATAGAAATGCCTTGGTTATAAGGCAAGTTTTAAGAAACTGCCAAACTGTTTTCAAAAGTGGCTGTGCTATTTTACGGTCTCATTAGCCATGTGTAAGAGTTCCATTTGCTCCACATCCTTTCAAACACTTGAATTGTCAGTCTTTATAATTTCAGACATTCTGATAGTTGTGTGGTAGTATCTCATTGTTTTTTTAATTTGCATTTTCCTAATGGATAACAACATTGGTGTACTTTCAGGCTACAGGATTTCGTGATCAGTTGAGTTGAGGGAAAAAAATATTTAAGTACTTTCATGTACTTATATTTCATCTGTACATTTTCTTTGGTGAAATGTCTGTTCAAATCTTTTATAACCCAATCTTGAACTGACATTCCAACACTTTTATCATTTGTTGTCACTTTTGCCATATTCTAATTGTTGAAAGTGAGTCAGTAAGTCCAGCCCATATTCAATGGGAGGGGATTACTCTAGGGCAGGACCTTTGGGGGCCATACTAGGGGCTGCCTATGACAGATGGCTTCCCATTTCTCTTGGAATAAAATTCAAACTCCATATCCTGGTCTACAAAGTTCTACAGAATCCAGCATTGTCTTTTTGTTTGTTATTTGGGCATGCTGAGCTCTCTCTCCTTGTAGAGCCTTAGTATTCACTCTTCTCTCTACTTGGGATACTTTTATGTCATATTTTCTCATGGTGAATTGCTTCTTGTCATTTAGGTCTCAACTTATAAATTACCTCCTCGAAAAAAAAAAAAATCCTCAATTACCTCAAACAATTAAGATAGCCTCTCAATCACTTCTTATCACATCACCTGATTTAATTCTTTATGTGGCACTTAGTACTATCTGATAAAATGCAAGTTTCATTGTGGCAAGAAACTTGTCTCATTCATCATTGTATCTCCAAAGTCTAGAACTAGACAGTTTGTGCACAGGTTTTGTTAGGAATTTAGATATTTATTATGACATCTTGAAGTCCTAGCTTTGTTGTGTAAAAGAATCTATCCCATACCACTGAAAATATCTTCACGGTAATTATGGTTAATACCTATATAAAAAGCTTAAGACTTGTATATACAAATGGGAGATTTCATTAAGAAGGAGAATATGGAGGAAAGACAGAGAGAAAAATTATGAGAGAGATTTTGCTAATTAGTACCCACTCTATGCATCAGAGACAGAAAGTACAAACATGACTCTGACAGAATTCCTGAGTCTACAAATTTGTTAAAAAGAAAAAAGAAATCACATGCATAACACAATTAGAGAAGCATAATATGCTTCATATAGTGAGGTTCTAACTCTAAGCACTAAAATTATGCTTAATAGAAAGCAATTTGGGTTAGAATAATCTAAGAAGGCTCAGGGAGAAGGTAAAACTTAAGATTTAAAACGGGCTAGAGGGAAAGGGACAGCCTTCCACAAGAGGAAAAGAGCTGGGGGCTAAATTCTCAGGCTTGACAGAAAGGAATTTTGCCCTGAAGACACCTGTGGTCGAGAATCAGAAGAGGTTCACTACAGTGGGGGTGGAGAAAAAGGCCTCCAGCTGAAGCCCAGGGAGAGATGAGGGAGGCTGTTGGGGGAGTTTGCCAGGGGACAACTACCTGACTCAAGGGCCTAACTCAAGTATTTATTTGGCTAGATCTGGAGCAGGTTATTGAAGTACTTAAAAGCAAGGTGTATGTTGACCATTTTGATACATTAGTTAATCTGATCAGAACAGAGTAAATTGGGAGGACACAGAAGTGGCTTCAACTATGCTCCCTGGAGTGGCTTCAGATTTTATCTCGTTTCCGATTAGGAGGGAATTGCTTGTGTTTGTTCTAGCACCTTACACAGGACTGAGAAAATTTAAATTTTCCATGTCAAAGAAAGGGGAGGCAGTGTTGGAAGTTATGGAGGTGTTCAAACCTCCCAAGTGATAGCTTCTGTGACTCTTGCATGCTCCCTCCTCTTCCCTTTGGGACACAACTATGGTAGCTGAAATATAAAGAGAAGGTAAAAGCTGGGTGGGATGCTTATTACGCTGCTTTCCTCTTCTCGACAACCTTAAAAAAACTTTTCAAAAGTTTAAAACATTTGGAAATAAACATAAAGTGAAGAAAAAGATTTTCAGATTGGTGTTGTAGAAAGAGCAGATGGGTATTTGAATTTGAAACTCGGTGTTGTCACTTCCTAGTTTTGTGTGCTGGGAGTATTTACTTCAGTTTTCGTGCCTCTTGTTTTTCTATACGCAAAATCAGAAATTGTGAAAGAGAGGTTCTCAATCCAGATACCAAATGTCTTGCAATGCCTGAGGCTGTGCCGCAAATGAAGAAAAGTCCGGCTCCAAATACCAGAGTCCCGTTAAGAAACGCTGATGGTCTCTAAAAATCCTTCCAACTTTAACATTCGAGGACTTCATTCGACGCCTTCACCAAAGACTAGGGACTCCCAAGCCCCGTCCTGCACATTCCCCCAACTCACCAATGGCTAATTCATCACTCAAGTTTCGACTTACATTTCACTTCTCGGAGATACCTTACTGGTGCCCACACCGATCTTACTATTGTTTTATTATTACTTGGTGAATGTCTGCCCCCTCCACCACTAGGTAAACTCCATAATGGCAGGGGCTGTGGCTATCCGTTGGGGTCATGGTGGCACTCAGTAAATACTTTTTGAATCAACAGGTGAAGAGCTGAAGAACAGAGAAAACGCCTACAACGGGAACGTGTTCCCAGTGAGGGCGTGACGTCACTTCCCGTAACTTCCGCTCCTGCCCGCTCGTTGTCCGTGTTTGTTTCCGGCGTTTCAATAAAGCTCGATTCGGCTAGAAGAAAACCTGTTCTTCCGGGAAAATGGCGACTCCCGCTCGTGCCTCGGAGTCCCCGCCGGCCGCGGATCCGGCCCTAGCAGCTGGGTCTGCCGAGGAAGCCGAGTGCCCGCCGCCTCGACAGCCGCAGCCCCCGCAAAATGTCCTCGCTGCTCCGCGGCTTCGAGCCCCAAGCTCCCGAGGACTTGGGGCAGCGGAGTTTGGCGGAGCTGCGGGAGATGTTGAAGCGCCAGGAGAGACTTTTGCGCAACGAGTAAGCTTGGGTCCCGCCGAATCACCGCCAGGCTCTTTGGGTTCGGGCTCCCTGGGACTCATCTGTCCCTTCCCCCACTCCACTCCCTTCCCTAGAAGGTGACCTTGCCTCAGAAAGTTCCGTTCCAGGCCCGCGGGCGAGCTGACGGCCTATAGCCGCGAAGCCGACCGCGTCCCGGCCTGGCTTGTACTCCCTGGGTGGCTCGTGCGCGGAGCGGCAGCTTAGTGTATCAGCTGTTCATTAGCTCCTCTTTGGTTTTATTTACTTAGCTACTGTGTCCGTTCCCTGAAGGATCTGTACCTCAGTCCTTTTGTTTCCCACCTCTTTCCCCAAATCGTGCCCAAAACACCTTGTCAGTTTCACCTCTAGATCCTATTTTTAGAGGAACTGAAAGAGTGGGATATAAAGAATGGTATATTAAGTAGAGAAAATTTGACCCTTATTCAGTTCCCCGACTTAATAGATTTTAGCAGTGGAACGATATAATGAAAGTGATTTTTTTTTTTTTTTTTAAGGAACCCTTGTTTAACAGCTTGGCATAGGATGCTTTAAAGGGATAACAGGCAGAAGACAGTAGGAGGATATTTTTAGAGAGGTTCTCAACAAGCAAGTTGTAAGAAAGTGAACCAGAAAAGTAATTGTGGAGTTGGGAAAACTACATCAGATTTGGAATGTTTTGAATAGGTAGTTGACAGAGATGGTTGAGGTTTGCAACCTGTATGGAGAACCAGTAATAACAATAGGAAAATTGGGAGGAGAGGGAGGAGTAGATCTCAAGCTGATTTTACTTAGGGCGTGCTGAGTTGATGGGAGAGTTAAGTTATCTAGTTAAAAGTTGAAGAAGTGGTCATGAGGCTTAAGAGAAAGGAGAAGGCTGGGAAAATATAGTGATGTCAGCTGGAGGGGATGTTAATAGTTGAAATGGGAATGAAAGAGAACTAAGAGGGCCTGACATGTAACCTTACCTCCTCATTTATTGTATGGGTAAAGAAAGGGGAATCAGAAAATGAACTCTATAACTCAGCAAAAGGAACAAATGATCACTTGGGATCTTCCTAGTAGACACAGGTATTTTGACTTTGTGTGAATAAATTTTTAATCTATAGCAGCGAATTAGCTTTTTGGTTTCAGGACCTCCTTCTGCTTTGAAGACTTATTGAATATCCCAGAGAGCTTTTGTTTTATGTTTGTGATACCTATGGACATTTGTCAGTGTAGTAGGAATTACAAGTGAGAAATTTTTAAAACACAGGATACAAGCTCACTCATTCTGTTAGCCAGCAGAGCATTGATAATCACATGTCCTGTGCCCTCTGATAACTCCACTGTGCCCATGTGAGAAAATGAGAGTGAAAATGGCAAACCGTGTCTTAGGATTATGAAAATACTTTTGACCTTCCAGACCCATCCACCTTCCCTCCCTGGGAAGGTCTTGGAGATCATACTGACTGGGAATGTCTTATATGAGCATTATATACTTAAAATACTTTAGCTGAAATTCTAATTAGGTGAGGCAAATAAAGCATAGTCCCTATTCTTCCTGGAGTATCTGGATAATGACTGTCTTATTTTAATCCTGTTTTGAGGCAGTTGGAAATCATATTTTTGAGTTAAAGATCAGTTTTTCTCCCTTTTAAGATAATGCTGTGTCTTAATCTTGGGTTTAAAAACATGGCTCTAATGTATACATGTTCTTTTCCATTTGACAGAAAATTCATTTACAAATTGCCCGACAAAGGTAAAAAGATGTTGGACTCTGTTGCCAAACTGAAAGCTGCCATTGCAGAACGTGAAGACGTTAGAGGAAAAAGTGAACTGTTTCATCTTGTTAGTTTAGATTGTAAGCTACGGCAAAAAGCAATTGCAGTTGTTGACATGGACACAGATAAGGTCCAGTATTCTGACCAGATACTTGATACTTCATCACTAGTTCCTGGCTGTTCCTCTGTAGATAACATTACGTCATCTAAAGCAACCTCACAACAACAGGGACTTGTACGTTCTACTCACAAAGGTGATGAAGAAGCTCCAGAAGTTGAATACACAGTGAACAAGTGCCCAGCTTCCAGCAGCAGAGCCAGTGCACTTTCTTCATCTGAAACTAGTGAGTGTCTCCCTCAGCATCGGGTGTCAAGTCAAGCAGAAGATAATTCTAGCAGCTCTGACAACTTGTTTATTGATAGGTTACAAAGGATCACAATTGCAGACCCGGGTGAACACTACTCAGAAGAAAACAGGAGTACTGAGAACTTGACAGGCCTTTGTAGTAGGACACAGAAGAAGCCTCATTACATGGAAGTGCTAGATATGCGAGCCAAAAACCCAGTGCCCACACCACGTAAATTTAAAACCAATGTGTAAGTACCATCAGAAACAGACCAGTCACAAGAGCATAATATTTGTTAAAGCATGTGGACTTTGTGGGAGAACTACTTGTAGTTAGGAATGAGCATATTGTGGAAACATTGAGGCCAGCCTGACTGGAGTGGAGGACGCATGTTGAAAATACTTTAATATTTTAGCCAAATAATTGAAAAAGTTTTACATAGCAGATGGAGTATTAAATTTCAGGATAGTTAGCCAGTATTTCATAATAAACACAGAGTTTATTATGACTTTTTTTTCCAAAACCATTTTCTGGTGTACAGCTCTATTAGTGCTGAGTTGATTGAGAAGGGAAGGTTTTGGTGGTGAGACATCCGGTTGAAAGAATGTATGAGGAGCTGATATGAGAATGAAATGGCAGGCATAAATTTTATTGTGAAGAGTGTGCTTTTGCGTTGGGAGACCATGTAGGTTTTATGTGTCAGAGAACAATAGTGGCATTTTGTCACATGAGTGATACAATAAGTTAAATTATTTTTATATAAGTTAGGCATAGGTGTATTATTGTATTTAATGTAACGTATTAAGTTCGGAGTTTTGTCCTTAGTTGTGAGCTCCCCGTTTGATTAGACTGTCAGCTAAGGAAAAAGCAATTGCAGGAGTTAATGAACTTGCTCAGCAAAAAATATTTGTGTGCTCACAAGATGTAATCAGTGGGTTCTGTGATGACACATAAGTAAAGATTCTGCTCTTCAAAGAGTTTAGAATCTAGATGAGGACCCAAGGCTAACACACTTGGAAGAACATTAAACTATATAATAAATTCAGCAAAAGGGGTCTGAGAAGGGGTTAAAAAAAACTAAAAACAGATTGGGGCAGGAGGGGCAAACTAGCCCCGCTTCTCAGTTCCTTTCCATATTTTGTTTCTAATATCTCCAATAAAAGGTAGTTCTTTGAAGAGAAGAGAATGTTACTTGTATGCAAATGTAACATTTAAATCAAGGAGTAGCAACTAGTACCTGCCTAGATTTACATGGATGTCGAACATCAGATATGAAGTCGAACCACTTCTTTCTTTGAAAAACTGAAAACTTCTCGTCAAAAATAACTTAAAACCATTTTTATTGTGGTAGAGACTTTTACAATTTAATCCTACCCCACCATTCAATATTTTTTAACCTCAAAACATTTTATTTATTCTAAGAAAACGATTATATTACATTAATTTTTAATTAGGAATAAAAAGTAATCTTTAAGTAACCTTTCAGTCTTGCGTGTGATGAGGTATGTTTCCTCCCTACTGGGAAGACAGAAAACCAATGCATCATCTACTTAGTAAATACAGAGACTACCCTGATCTCAGTATTTCATTGTCATTTTGTATTGTGGGTTAGGGAATAAAATGGCTCCCAAGGATTAAGGAAGTTGAAGAGAAAGAGCTTGTGTGCAGTTGGAACAGATCAGGAAAAGCTGGGCCTTGACAGGCAGTAGGCCGTGGCTGGTGGAGATTGAGGGGTTCCAAGCTGGAGCAGCAGCTTGGAGGTTGGAAAGTGGGATAAAGTATTGTCCTTTGGCTCCTTTTTGTACTTTGGCCTCCTACGTGCTCTTCTGGCTCCATTACTACCTGGATGCCGGAGGCTTTCCCTCATCTATGTCTAGCCCAGGTCTTCCTAGAACTTCAGACTTGCATGGCCAGTTACCTATGAAACATGACCATGTGGGTGTTTGTGGCACCTCAGGTTTATCATGACTTTCTTCCATGTTCCTTATGTTAATAGTGCCACCTCCTTGTCCCACCATCCCCCTCAAGGTGTCTTTTCTTCACCTCTATATCTGCTAGCCATGAAGACCTGACCTACATAATGTATTTCCTTGACCTTTATCTCTAATCATTCTTATCTTCATCCTCTCTCTTAAGGGAAGGCTGCCATACCTCTCTTGGGCTATAACTGTGGTATGTTCTGGCCTCTAATCTTAACACTACCAGTCTATCTCCTCCACTGCTACCAGAGTGAAATCTGTAAAATGCAAATGTGAACCTGTTGCATAGAATGGAACTCTGCATTGTGGTCTGGACCCAGCCTGTTTCCCAGGCTTATTTTGCTTCCTTGTCTGTACTCTCTGCCTCCTGTACTTCCTGTGTGCTGTAGCCATGTGCCCCTTAGTCCCTGCTGGGAAGCCCCTCTCCCCTCATTTACATGGTGAGCACTTTTTCCAAGACTCCTCAGATTTCACTCTTTTGAAGCTTTTCCCTGCCTGTCATCAGAACTGGCCATTTCCTTTATGTTCCTGTGTACCATATATGGATAGTTCTTGTGTATCATAATACCTGTGGTATTATATTGTACTGAAACTGTTGACAAGTTTATTTACCTCCATTGGACAGTAAGCCCCTAAGCAAACGTTTTTTTTGAATAAAAAAATGAAAAGATAGCTTTGGTTCAAGTATAAGGTTTAAAGACAGAAGGAAAAGGCAAAAAGCTTATCTCCCTATACCTTGTTATCTGTTAGAGCAGTAAATTAGTTGTCTAATTACTCTCCCAAAAGGTGCCAATTTAAATACTTTTTTTGAAGTAAATATGTTAAAAAAGGGAAATATTTTACCTACCTATGTAAATATTGGCGAACTGCTGACTGTGACCTTTGAAGAAGAATTAATTAGCTGTTAAGATTAAAGGCCACTTATGTGTGCGAATGTTGTATGTCTATGAAAAGAAAATAGTCTGATGGTGTAACACAAGTGTTCCCTCCTTCAGGTTACCTGCAGAACAAAATGATCTATCTAGTCATCCACAAAGGAGAGCGACTCCTATTTCCTCAGAGGAAAGGCGGCGCAGGGATAAGAAGCATCTTGATGACATCACGGCAGCTCGGCTTCTACCACTTCACCATCTGCCCACACAGCTGCTCTCCATAGAAGACTCTTTGGCACTTCAGAAACAGCAGAAACAGAGTTATGAGGTATTTAAGAGTATTAATTGTTTCTTATCTGTATATTGGTTGGTGTTACATAAGTCAGAATTCACTCCAGGTAGTTCAAGCAGGACTGGATTTAACAGAAGGGATTAGGTGCTGGAGAAATGGTTGGTTCATGCCATTAGCTCTCAGACGTGTGCCTTTAGTTTTCGGAGGCTTCTTTCCTGCTAGAGCTGCGGGAAACAGCTGGAGATGATCATAGCTGCCTGTAATGTCAAACGTATTTGCCAAGAAATGTGAGAAGACTACTGTAAAATTTCACATCTCTTAAAGCCCATGCTGTTAGTATAGCAGTAGTATCGCTTCTGTCTTCTACCTTGTAAAACCCATGTGAGAGCTACTCTGGTGGAATCTAACCAAGAATCCTACAAAGAAAATCAAAGAAATGTGGTTTCCAGCTTCTTGCAATACAGGAGAGAGCATAAAAGGGGTGTGGGAACAGTGTTGTATTGCCAACACATATTTAGACACTAAGCTTAAAAGCTTAATCTGCAGGCCCTTGTGAAAGTAGAAGAATCCCTATTGTGTTTAACCATATTGTGTTATGGTTTGCAGTATGTTGTGTGTTGTCTGATATTTTAGTATATTGTAGGAGTACTTTTAGTGACTTCAGTTTGTATAGCACTTTCTTCAAATATCTGTGTGTTCTGCATAGAACTTTAAACACGTATAGCGAGAATTTGTGTACAGAATAACAAGATAGGAGAAAATAAGTGTGAGAACTGTAGTGAGAAAAGAAAGAGTCTGATAGTAATAATTTGAGCCTCTAGGAAAACAGCAATCTAATGTCCTCATACTGCTTAGCTAGATTTTAATCAGGTACTATATACCAGTTAATGTAAAACCAGGCTGTTAATCTGCCACAGCTTTTCATAAAAGCTCAGTTGGTGTAGATTGGCATTTTAAGGCACTCCTTTTTAAAGCCATTTTTCTTTCTCTCAGTGCATTAAAATGATTGCCTACTTAATGACTACAGCATTGAAGAATTGTTTTTTAAATTGTCTATATGAACTTAAATGCCCGTCCTAAGACATTTTTAGGTTGAATTACACCCTTCAGTTGGCAGTTGGCTTTCATGGCAGAGTAGTAGTAGTCACTCCCACTTCAGTCTTACCCCCCTGCCCCCAACCCCCACCCCTAATATTCACAGCCCACGGGGAAGGACATAAATAAATTCAAGTGGTGTGACAGGAAGCATATGAAAAGTGAAGAGCCGAATTAGGAACGAGCATTGCCACCTGCCATCACTCAGTGCTAATGTCCTTGGGTATATGTAAACACACATTGCCAGTGTCTGAAATTTACTTGGACTTTTTGTTACATAGTGATTTCTATGGCACTTTATTTGGAGAAAGATGGCCAGCCTTTCAGTATCAATTTCTTGATTTTCATTGTGGCATTGAAATGTTACTCTTAAGCCTAGAAGCTATGATTTATCTAGGGAAGATGGTTCTGTCAGTTGGAGAATCAACATAGCATTAGTGATTTTTGACATTTGATAGCTCAGATTGTTCTTTGAGCTTGTATATACACATGCATGTGCCCACATACTTAAAATTATGTCCATGTTTATAACTATTGTAGTGCTAAGCTGATTACTCGGTTTCTGATGTAGAGGTGGGACATTTCCATGCACTGTTTATTAATGGACATCGAAACTACAACTGTATCAGGCTAGTGGCTCTCACCAGCGTGGCGCTGTTGTGGTTTTGGTAGGCACAGCCATCAGGTTCATTATATTGCTATAGAAAGCACTAAGAGGAATGGCATGCCCCTTTCTTTCTGATTCTGTTTAAATGACTTGGCATTGAAAAAC